TGAAAGTTACCATTGAAAGGACGCTTCTTTAACGATATTGATGACATCCAAAGGGCTGTAACATCGACTTTGAAGGCCATAATGACATAAGAACTACAGAGGCAATTCCAGTGTTTGTTAAATCATGCCACTTGCTGTACAAGGGGCTTACTTTGAATAAAATACAGGTTATATCTTCAACTGTTTATTATTTTAATTTTAATGGAATTAGTCTCATTACTTAATTGTCGGATCTTGTATATGTGAGTGGGTGTGTGGGTCCTAATTAATCTTTTTATCTGTCTAGGCTCATCATATGTCTATAAAACCACAACTCCACAGCTTTCAAATGAGTTTTCACTAATTTGTTAACTGTTCATGATTCACATCTGTATATAAATATAGGATTTATATAACTTTGAAGAATTCTCTCTCTCGTCTTAATTGACAAAGAAAGAATGCAAAAAATATTATTTATTTTGTAAAATGCTGCCTTTGCTTGAGCTATTCGACATTAAACTTCCTTAAAACATCTTCCATCTGATGTTATCAGGGTACCCAAGAACTCAAACATGTCAACTTGCTTGAGGTTTGTCCCATTTACTTTGATGTTGCATTATGGAGGGTCAGCTTTCTTTGTAATTACCATTACTTCTGTATTTCTGCTGTTCAAAGACCCTTGTTTTCACTTTCTGTTACAATTATATCCATCACTTCTTGCAGTTGTATTTCATCTTCAGCTATCAAAATGATATCATCAGCATATCGCATACGTGTGTGTGTATATATACACACATATTTGTGAGTGTATATAAACAGGAGTGTGTGTGTGTGTATATATATATACACACACATGTATACGTATGAGTCTATATATATATATATATATATATACATATATGTGTGTGTGTGTATATCTATTATATATATATATAGAGAGAGAGAGAGAAGGGGGGGGGGGGGGGGGTAGATGTGGGGTTACAGCCTGGAGCTGCCAGACATGCAGATTTCACTAAGGGCACAAGGAGTTTGATTAATCAACATTGAAGAGTGTGATCTGTAATTTTCACTTGTGGAGCTATTCCAGCCCAGTGGATCTGTTGGGAGTACTGTGGTGATAGTTCTCACTAAATACAACATAGTTAAGAATCTGTTGTAAATAAGACATCTTGAGACTGCAATTTTGCCCACTTTTTAAAACCGCCAAAGATACATTCACCAAAAATTATTATTTTTCAGTGATCAATGTTGGTTGTGCATCTATTCTAGCATGGTCATAAACAGGACGGTGCACTTGATATCTTCACCAGTGACCCATAGTTTTATCTTGCAGGGTCAGTTCTGTAGACCAGACTTCATTCTGACTTGAAGTCTAGGCATTTTTTAAGTCATACTCTGGAGTTTGCTTTGATGCATCAAAAATGGCATAGTCTACAAGAACCCATACTATAGAGGTGAGATGTAAGTTTAAAGTGTCATTTTCAGTGTATGAAGATTCTAATTTGCATGTTACTGCCAAGTCTTTTTTTTTTGTTTTGTTATGCTGTAGTTGTAGTTTTCTCTCTGAGATGTGTGGGGCTGCATGATGTTTCCTGCAGTTTTCACAAATTCACCTACTTTTCCATTTCTGTGATTATTATAGTGGGCTGGTATCATGCTTTTTGTTTTGTTTTTTAAATTTTATTTCATGAAGGATGCTTTCCTGACAGGAGCATAAGGTAACTTGGACGGCTAATGTCAAGTCTGAATATGGCAGCTTTATTATTTAGTTCCACTGGATTATTATTAGGAGTTTGCACAGCTGAAAGAAGGGTTGATGCCTCTCTGCTGCTAACGAGTTTTTCTCTGTGTTGCCATTAGGATGTGTAATGTAGATTCCACCATCTCCCTCAACTTCTTCAGCAAAACCATGTTAGCACATGAGCACTAATTAAATTACTATGAAAAATATCTTATAAACAATGGTGCATTGCAGTGCATCACAAATATTATTTGGCTGATGCTTTTCTGGCACATTTTTTGATGTACTGGCTTTTTATTTTGTGCCTCATAAAGAAGTTATCACATTGTGATGTCACCACCAAAGTTCTCAGTCCCATGTGATGCAGCAGACACTCAAAAGTACCTCTACTGATAGTCCCATGAGAAGTTGGTTATAGTGCCTCAGATATTGCAAAGACGTGTTTCACTGAGCTTTACCCCCAGCGTCAGATTCATCATTGTCCATTAGCCTAGGGGTTAATTGCGATCTCTGCTCTGAATGCTTTCTACCTATTCAGAGTGTACATTAATTGTTGTGATTTTCTGAGCATTTTCATGGAGTCTAATATGATTACATTTGTGGCCACTTGTTCGTTTCCTCACGTGAGTGCTTTAGAAACATTATCTATATGGTCATACTTGATTGATATTCCCTTTTATTGTTTTTCCCATCCTTTGTGGTGTGTGTGTGTGTGTGTGTGTGCCAATGCTGACCTTGATCAACACTTCAAATACTCATCTGTATACATCAGAGCTATTAAACTTTCGACCTGTGAAGGCCTAGCAAGTGTACCATAGATCATTGCCAGTTGCATTGTATTAATGATCTTCTATGCTGGGACTCAGACCTCTGGCTAGTGACCATCCCCATTTTCAAAATGTTTGCCCCTGAGTAAACTTGGTTGAATAACCCTGTTGTAGATGATGTATTCTGGGCGTGAGTGCTGATCAGTTAGTGATTTGAATCTTGTTTCTTGTTGACAAATGCGCTTCCAGTAATGGAAAATTTGGGCTTTCTGATGTGTGCCTTTTCTGTTTTGGTGTAATTAATTCATTATTGAAAGTATTACTAGTAGATATGCTTACCATAGACAGAATGTGAACATATGATCATACAGTAGTGTGTGTAGATATGCAAAAGCAAAATTTGGTACTGCTTGTGTATGCTCGATCAGTGTTGCATATTCCAGTAGAATGTTTTTTTTGTGTGTACAATTACTGGGAATTTTCAAAATAGAAAATAAACATATAAATAGATTATTTAGTTAAATTGTGTGGTTGTGTGCACAGAAGAAACTGTTTAGTACTTTAGATTTTTAAACAGAAAATACATAAACGGATTTGTTTGTATAGTAGTGAGTATGTGCATGTGAGCATGCATTTTTTGCCACACTGAGACTGTCCTGTTCAACACCAGCATATTTTATTTCATTCTTGATTTACTGGAATTTGTTAAGTTCTCTTACAAAGTTCAACATTAGTGATTCTATAATAATTTTTAAATTTCCAGTTAATGAACATTTCTAGTTTATTTGTAATTGTTTTAGTTGTTTTCCATTTTCTGCTCAATACAGCTGCACTGATTTGACATTGAAATAAAAAATTTTAAGTTTAGGATTAGTTTAATTTCCTTTGACCTCCAGAGATATCCTTGTGCTGTGAAGACTCTTGCCTTTTGTATTCATATTTCAAAATTTCTTTCAATTCTCCCATCATTAACTATATTACTGCCCAAATAGGTGTACACCACCAGGTCTTGGATGTAATAAATAACAAGAAAATAGAATACAGTTTGCCTAGTTTATTATTATCATTGTCTTTCCTTTATGGATTTTAACACCTATTTGTTAGGATCTTGCACCAAGTATATTTAATTTAATTTGCATCTAATTCCATGATTGGAAGTGAAGAGAAACATTTTCAGGGAAGTCCAAGTAATAAAGATGTTTTATAGGGGTCCACTGAGTTCCATTCCTGGTGGTAGCTAGTGCTGTCTTTTTGTGTAACTATCAGGTACTTGTCCTATTTGAAAATGTACCCAGAAGTCAGTTTCTGAAGTTGCTGACAGTTAAAATATTCATAGGTCACTGTTCAGTCCAAACATGTGTTTGCCTGTAAAGATCTGGCATCTGTGCTGCTCTGTAATATTTTATTTGATCTATCAGAGATGACATGGTGGTAGACACTAGTATAACAACATAGTGTATTGAATGTTTTCAACATAAATTGAAAATAAGTTGAGATTTTTATATCGAGAGCATCCAAATGGTCTAATATTATTTATATATTTTTTTAAATTAAACATTTTATTTTTAACAGTGAATATGGTTATGGTTACAAAATAAGACATCTCCTAGTATATTTTGACTATAAAGTCTGGAAGAATGGCCTTAATTACGAACTATTAAGATATAATGTGTGTGGTAAACTATATAATTATCATCTAGCAGATATAACAAGATTACAAGTACAGGATCAAAACAACAATAATAAAGATACTGAAAACAGTGGAGCCCTCTCTTCTAAATGATTTATTTACCATCTCCCTCCCTTGAATCTTTGGTTCCCAGGTCGATCCAGCCTTACGTGGGTACCAGGTACGGTCCTGGAAAGTAAAGGCGGCTGGAATGATGCTGGCCACATCACCCACTAAGTGCCATTTGGTCTATAAAATATAGGGTCTAGCCCTATATACCCAATACGCCTAAAGGGCGTGGAAAAGGGTCCCTTACTTTACTTCTCTGAACAGGAAAAGAGGGTGTTGGTGGTTGAGGCAGAGAGAGGGAGTGTGAGAGAGAGTTAAAATATTGTCTTTTAAACTTAAATGGTACAGACAAAAATTCTTACAATACCATGGATTGAAATGAAGAAAATAATGGCATTTATGAGATCTACATAAAGTTGGATGCAAAACATATGAGATACCTCAGATGTAAAAATACATGCAGATACTGAGTCTGTCTAATGAGAGCTAGTAGTAGTGACTTTCTGCAAAAGGCCCGCTAGATTAGGCATGAATGTATGTATGTATATTAATGTTTGTATACATTCCTGCATGTTCATTTATTTTCCTTTAACTCTTTGAGTCCCAAGGAACGCATCATACGTTCATAGATTCCTACCTAGAGGCCCAATGAACGCATGATGCGCTGATTTTACGTCTCTTTTGATTACCCCTTGGGCCTGTGATGCTAACCCCCTGGGACTCAAAGAGTTAAGCTGGGTTTTTTAATATTTAGTTTGACTGCAGTAGCGTACTGTTATCGAACTTTAACCCAGAAAACATTATCTGGCCAGTTATACAGGCTGCTAAAATCAGTATTTAATAATTTTCTGCCAGCAGCGTCCTCAGAAGGTACCATATTATGTTGTAATAAGAATGTCATCATTGTCTTGCCATGATCTGAATACTTGTGAAAGGCAATCTCCATTAGAATAACTCTAACATCTACATGCATGAAAAAGTTTCGTGCACATTTAAAAACATCTGGCTCAGAGCCCTCAATATCCATTTTGAGAAAGACACTGAGATTGGTTCTGACATATGGAACAAGATCATCCAAACATATGGCATCTACAAGTATTGTGGCATTACTTTTTGTAACATCTTCAATCTGACTGTCTGCCTGAAGTCCACTTCTGCTATGATTTTGCTTTCCTGCTTTTGTAATCCTTTGTAAGGTATTTAATAGGTTATCATTTTTAATATTAATTTCTTTAACTTCTGTACCACCTAAATTAAGATCATCCTTCAAGTAAACATACATCTTGGCATGTCTGCAGTACACTGCATTATGCACTGTAGTTATCAGGTCAGAATATTTTGGTGGAGTTTCTTTGTTATGTCCAGACTGGTGAAGCACCCTAGTATTCTCATCACTGCTGTTTACTTGTTCTAAGATGTCATCATTTAAGGCTATGGACAGTTGTATGAGAGCAAGGTTTGATGGTAGAATGTCAACTGCCAAAACTGGTTTTGATATGGATGCTGCAAATAAAGTGAAAACTCCAATATTGCATCCCAAATCAACAAGCTGTGAGTCTGGGTTGTTCTGAAATATAAAAATGTGGGAATTTGTTTTTAATTATATCATTTATATATTAATATATATATACACACACACACACACACGTATACAAATATATATATACACACACGTATACATGTATACATATATATATATAATATATATACATCTATATATTGTAATTTTGTTCTTAATTTTTTAATTGAAAAATATTGTTACATTCTCTAGCCGTAATATGTTACTTCGTTCATAAAGTTCTCTACCATGATCAAGTATATGTATGTGTGCCCATAATTAGAATCTAAAAAATCTGTTTTATAATAAATATTTTTTCTGAGCTTACTTACCAGTGTTTCTAAAATATGTTTCAACTATAAAATCACTAAATATTATTTTATTTTACACATCCAGACACCACACTCTCTGCCAGTGTATCTGCTATCTTTAGAGCTCATAAGGTATTTAATTCATGTGAACAAAAATAATTCTACCAGTTCTTGGGTAACTGATGTACAAAATTCACATATATACACACAATATACCAAATGGGTGGTACCTAGGAAAAACACATTTGTCACTAATGAATCAGTTTAAAATGTCTAGCCAAGTAGCTGGAAACAGATCTTTTCATGATTTCAAATTGTTGAGCTGGATTTCTTACAATTTCAAGGACGTGACCGATACGAAATTCTCACGGGCCACTTGGGTTACATTTTCTGTAATACTGGGAGGAGGAAGGGGGAGAGAGAGAGAATTTCTCTGACAGAAATGTGATCAGACCAGAGAAAATTGTTAAGAAGACAATGAATTAAGAAGAAGAAAAATGCTGGCCTTCAATGAGATCTGACCATCAAAAGAAAACAGCACTGTGTCTAGGAGACCAAAATAGTGTTGTCATATCTTTTTCTTTAGACACCTTCATTAAGCTGAATATATTTAAAAAGAAGCCAGAAGTTGTTATGAGCTTATCATCAATGACCTGTGTTAAACATGTTTTTGTTTTGTTTTTGTTTAAAGACTTTTTGAAAAACAAGAGTTTAGAGATATAATTCCTTGTAGAAGAGCTAGTGGTTGATGAATGTAAAGACGTACATGTGGCATTACAGACACCCTGGGCATGAAAATGCATGAATCACAGGAAATGGGGAATTATCACAAATGTTTCTAGTAGGTTATGATGAGCCATGCTGCAAAAGAACTGCTATATGATGACAATGACAGACTGTCACTCTTACTTAAATCATGCCAACCAGACTATGAATACACACTGATAGTGTGGAAAGATGAACATATCTTCAGGAGAAACATCTTAGAATTGTTGAGACATGGTTAAAGCAAATTAAGGACAAAATAGGACCCTGTTAAAAGTAGTTACAAGACAAAATATATGTGAACCTTGTCTGCTGTCCATTGCAAGAGGGACTGTAATCATAAATAATCCTTAGTTTCTTTATTTCTGTGATGTCCTACATTGTGTTGATTTTCAAGTTTGTAAGTGGCTATCTACTGCTTGAGTCTTCCTTCAAAGATACATTAAGTCAGGTAATACAGATGTCATTTTTTTTTTCATTCATATTGTAGACTCATGATACCCACATTGCTTTATGCATTCTTTTATATGGAAAAACACTCCCTGTGTGACAGATTGATTTAATTCACAAAACATCATACATTTTTGTTGTTTATATAGATATAACATGAAAACAGATACTACCAAAACTGAAGTAATGCAGGTTAGCAGAATTCCTAGTCTGCTACATATCGTGTTGAATGGTATCTGTCTGAAGCAAGTTAAGGAATATAAATATCTAGGAAGTATTCTGTGAGGTTGAAAAAATAGACTGAGAAATAGAAACAAGATGCCAAAGAGCAGTACACTTATATATATAAACTGACATCGTTATTAAGATATCCAAACATAAGTATGAGTGCCAAGAAATAGATTATAAACAGCATATTCATACTAACACTGTGCTACCAGTGCCAGACTTGGACATTATCAAAGACTAACGTACGTAAAATGTATACCAGTGAAATGAGATGCCTGAGAAAAGTCGCCAGCTTAACCATCGGAGACAGAGATAGAGATGATATTATCAGACAAACTGTAGAAACAACACCATGTAGCAAATTCACTGAAAAACAGAAGATCAAATCGTTTGGTCATTTAGTAAGAATGCAGCCAGAATAACTACTAAACTTGAAAGGATCTGAAGTGAAAGCAAGAGGCTGTCCTAGAATATGGATTGATGATGTTAAAGAGATTCCATATCAACACGAAATGACAGTAGCCATTGCTGCCCATCAAGCAATGGATCGCAAACTGTTCCTCCCCACAACGCTTAAGGGCAGAAGTAGAAACTCATGATCATTATCGTGCTGTGCCAACAGGTGTGGGTGACGTGCCTCTCCAGAATCAGTGATCTTCAACAGCGTGTATCAGCTGGTGTGCTGACACACCTCCATGCCATAACAAAAGGCTGTCAAGAGACCTCTCACACTGTTTTCCTGTCTCTTTTCCACAGGTCATTCCGATAGTTGCATATTCCAGTTCCCTTCTAAAAATATGACACCTGTCTCTTTCTGATTTTGTGATAAGTTGTCTTGGAGCCCTCACCTTTTCAAAACATCTGGTTGCTCTTTTTTGGCTGTACAAGTAATTCTAAAGATTTTTGTAAAACCACATCTCTGAGTAGTAGTAGTACATTTTACCCCACTAGGTCATCAGACAAGCGATAAACACCCGATGACACAAAAGGCCACCATGTGGATGAGGATCACCCGTGGAGATATTAGACCATATTTATGGTCGGACTATATTGCGACCCCTGGCTAGAGCCAGGGTTGGGCTTCAAAATAAAAAAAATTGCATCCCACAAGGGAATGACAACTATAACCATAACATCTCTGAAGTCTCAAGATTGTTTAAATATGTTTATACACATATATGATCAATTTGATTGGTTGTCTTATGGTCTGGTGATTTCATCATTGTCTTGTGTATTCTTTTATGTGGCAAAATGCTTCCACCAGTAATATATTGTCCCGTTCCCCCCCCCCCCCCTCCCCCCCCCCCCCAAAAAAAAAAACTTTTTTTTTAAATTGGTGAAAAATGTCCTAGTTTCATCGTGTTTTCCCACTTAGTGGGTAGATTTGGTCAACAAAGTGGATCAATTTTTTATAAAAATTGCCTGCAGATCAGAAGGTCGTGTGTTCAGGTCCTGACAGGGGCTGGACTTTTTTCAAAAATGACCTTGGCTCCTAGGTCGACCCAGCCTTGAGTGGGTACCAAGAACAGTCTTGCAAAGTAAAAGTGGCCGGCGTGATGCTGACATCACCCACTAAGTGCCGTTGGGTCTATAAAATATAGGTCTAACCCTATATGCCCAATACGCCTGAAAGCTTGGAAAAGGGTCCTCTACTTCTACAATGTCGTTTTGAAGAAATTTTCAAAAGGTCATTTTTTAGGATTTTTTCCGGTCAAAAGAGTTTAATACAATAACGGTTTCGAGATAACAAAATTGCAAAGGTAAGGTTCTCACAAACAGTTGGAACTGGATACCAACTGTGAGATACTATCTAAAAAGGAAACTGTGAAAGCTATCAATCTACTGAAGGATGTTAAGAGGTCCATATGGAATCCTAGCAGAAGTTATTAAGGCCAGTATAAGTTGCTACACAAATTATTCAGGAAAATCTGAGAGACCAAAGAAATACCAACAGATTTGAGAGAATAATGTGAAACTGCACACAAAAATAGGTGACCTGCAGGAGTGTGAAAACTATATTATCAACAGAATTATAAGAAATGCAGGGCAAATACAGGTACTGATTTGACACTCATATAAACAAACCACAGATGAGAGGACACACTAAAATTTATAACAATTTAAAGGTTTTTAAAATACTTGAATTTGAATCTGCAGTCTCCAAATGACAACAGTACCTTGCTCAAGGAAAAATTTACTGTGTCAAGTGGTCAAGTAGATACCTTTTTAAAGCCACATTATCTAAACCTGCGCCTATGGAATATAAACAGAATTCATACCTAGCCATTTTATAGAATTCTAGAAATGTATTAATAAACATATAAGCAAAGTAGGTAATTATGGTGAATTAATTATAAGCACATGAAGAATAAGAAGAAACAAAACTAATCAGACTTGCCTGAAAAAATTCTCCCATCTGAGACACCAGCTCTTGTTCCCATATACCTGTATCTCTTAAGCGATTTGAAATGAAGTTGTCATCAGAAGGATAATGCACACATATCTTTGTTGGCAGGGCATCATGAGGAACTTTCAGCCTGACACAGTCTGGTAGTTTTTGATATTGTTTTAATGTCTTGAATCGCAAATGTGAACCTTCCATGCACGAAGCAGCATCTACAATGCTGTTTACCCAAGCACGCCCAAAATGTGAAAAATTACAATTTTGTAAATGAAATTTTCTCACCAGGGAATTTCCAATCAGATTTTTTGGAGAAAACTCTGCACTACCAAATTCTGACAAGACTGGGTGCTTTCGCTGAGAATAAACAGAGAACATATGACGTGTTTTGCTTCTAGCAGTATCAATAACATCTTGACCAACAGTCATTGCTTTTCTTTTTTCTAAAGAATTATTATCAGCTGAACTTTGTCTGTCAGATACTACCACATCTCTGATTCTGTAGTTGTCAACTCCACATATTATTTTTGGTTTAGGGAGAAAAGAGATTGTTATATAAATACAAGATGTAAGTATCATGTAGAATAGCACTTTATATAGGGTTTTCTTTACTGGCTGTATGCATTTCAAATGACGACTCATTTTGGACAATGAATACTTAAGTGTAACAGTAAATGTGTATTAGGGCAAGCATGAGACAAGAACTTCCCTGCCACCAATTTCCCAGTTTCTCCAAGGAATGTTACAAAGCTTATAATGTTTTTCATTATGAAAAGCAAGTACAGTATTGATCAACAAATGCTGCAAAAAAAACAAACATGTACTCCAGACTGATATTCACAATTTTGACGTTGCAGCTCAATGCTGTTCTGACAGCTAGAGTTCTTTAGTTACCTGTGAAGAGATATCAAGAGCTATTATTTAAAGTACCAAACACTACAATAAAAGAATCACGATGATATAACCTGGAATGGCATATTTTACTATAAAAGAAAGACGTGTGCTGAATATAAAAACATTATTAGGCAGTTCAATATTCCTGTCATCTTAAGATCTGAACATCAAGGAAGACTGGCTAATAAACAGCATCCTGTCTCAGAAGATGAAATATTTTGATCATATCAGCGCCACGACGGATTGGAAAAAAAATTATAGCAGAAGGCATAGTACCAGGAAGGAGGGGCAGGGGCCAACCGACACAAAGATGGGCACAGGATATTAGTGACTCCTTGAATATGAAAGTACATGAGGTGGGAGAGCTGGCGAGAGACCGAGTTTCTTTCAGACAGACCGTGATGAGAGCGACGTTCTGCAAAGGACCTGATACATGATGATTCAGATTAGAAAGGATTATCAAACCGTGGTGCAGTTTGGTGTTAATGATGATTGATCAGGTGCCTAACGCTAACCTTAAGGAGACCGAACACGCATAAGACGTCGCACGTTTCTTGGCAAAACATGATTGTAAATATTACTTTAGTCAAATTTTCAAAATTCCCTCTACACCAATAAAACCTGCACAGTTAGATAGCTGTAAACAATCTCTTTTCAATGGTACCTCATTTAGGCTTGTATATCATTTCTGAGCTGAGATATGTAGGTTTTTGTGGAGATGAGATGTAAAAAACAGATGTTGAAAACTTGCGACCCAGAAACAAGAAGTTTCTCTGCGCAACCAAACTGCGCACTTCTGTTTTGGCTTTGTTGACATTGGACTGTCATTGGACAAGATGGCAGACAATGGAGACAGCCAAATACCGATTGCCTAAAAAGCCACTCATAGGAAAGAAATTTTATTTACAAATGTAAAATTGGACGAAGACTTCAATTATAACCAGCATTACCAGTACGAGTAATGTTAAAGCCTAAAAGCCAACCTCGAATACCTTTTTTTAAGGCATCTTATAATTATTATAATATCGATATACTATACAATATGTCCAAGTTGAAACAAATGCGATCACTCATCAGTGATTAGAGAAGAGGTTGAATGCGACTACTGTCATTATTGTACAGTAGTGAATTAAACGTTCTTTACTATTGCCTCCTTAGATGTTATTGTTAACACTGTGATCAGTGATTCTGAATAAAAAGCATGATAGGAATAAACTCACAGGGAGCAAGTACAGCGGGAATCTACCAGTCATCAGTAGAAATTATCCTCGTCGACACACGTTTCGGCCCACGATTCCTAGACGTATTCGGAGGTGGGCCCTCCTGAGTTCATGACGCTCAGGGCTGGTTCCCCGCTGCACGGAATTACCGGATGGTGTTATACTTTCGGCCAGAGACAAGACGACTTGGTGGTTTCGAAGGAGGTACTGTGAGATAAGAAGCCACCGCGGCAGCGTAATTAAAACATTCCGCATGCCTGGACGACCGAGCGACAAGCTTATTTTACTCGGGATACTGTTCATGGCCTGGCAGATCAACCGCCAGTAACCAGTCCCTCGCAGAGTCTAGCACAGATGGAGGGAATGCGTTTTTGTTGACCTTACCAATTGGAACCTGCCCAGCCTTGAGGAAACGAATGGCGGCGATACTAGAACTGGCTCTGGCGTTAGCCCTCATTCTAGCCTGGTCGACAACGGCTGCTAACTCCTTTAGCACCTTGTTGTGGCGCCAGGTATATCGGCCTTGACCTAGGGCTTTCCTGCACGCGGACAGGACGTGCTCAAGAGTTTGCTTTGATTTGCACAACGGGCAAGTCGGATCGTTGGTCGCAGACCACTTAACCATATTAACACCGGACGGTAATACATCGTACGCCGAACGAACGATAAAGCTCAGTCGCAGCTGGGTCATCCGCCAGATCTCACCCCATGTGAGTACTCTTGGCAATGCGCTCTCCAGGCTGACCCAATGGCCCTGCTGCGACTGTTGGGCTGCTTTCTGGACCCGAACCTCGTTTTCGTTGTCCCTCACCGTTTGTATTACCATGTCTCGGCGTTCTTTGGCAGAGGCCTTCGACCACCAATTGACCTTCCCGTGCCCTAGGCCTCGACGGTCGGTTTGTGTGTAACCCATAATCTCTCTCAATTTTAGTGCGTTCTGAGCAGATTCTATCGCATCGAGGACTCTCCATTTGGTTCCAGTCTTTAGAGCTGGCTGGACAGCGGTGACATTTGGGTCTGAAGACTCGCGCAGAAGCATGGCGAGTCTTACCTTGCCGACTTTAAACTCTTCGGTTATCGACTTGAACGGAAGTACCAGCTTTGCCTGTTTACAATACAGAGCCACGTCGGTCAGACAAGGCGGTGCACCAATCCACTTTCTCAAGGCTGTGTTGATTTTCTTTTTCATGGCTTCCACTTCAGTCATCGTCACCTCATGGAATAAAAGTGGTGCCTGTGCTTGCGAACAAATATCGACAGACAGACAGACAGACAGACAGACAGACAGACAGACAGACAGACAGACAGACAGACAGACAGACAGACAGACAGACAGACAGACAGACAGACAGACAGACAGACAGATAGATAGATGGATGGATGGATGGATGGATGGATGGATGGATGGATGGATGGATGGATGGATGGATGGATGGATGGATGGATGGATGGATCGATAAATGGATAGATAGATAGATGCTTCTCTCTTACTGTCAGCTATCAAATAGAGACAGTAAGGATGCTTGTTATACAAAAGTAATCAGTCGAGCCCGGGAGTAAGACTGGTAACAACCAGAGTGTAAGGGAGCGATGAAGGGATAGATGGGAAAACAGTATGTGTGGATGATGGTGTGGATAGGCGAGTGTGTCCTGGATAGATGGGTGGGTAGATGAAAGGATGGAATGATGGATGACTGTATTAGTGGATGAATGGAATCGTAGATGGATGGATGGATCGACCAAATATGAGATGAGGTAAAAACATGAGTCTAGTAACACAGTGCTTCTCTCTTACTGTCCGCTATCAAATAGAGACAGTAAGGGTGATTTTTATACAAAGTACTAGCTGTACCCGGCCACGCGTTGCTGTGGCATAGTTTGGCTAAATGGAAATGAAAGAAAATAGAAAACGCACGTGTCTAATACAATCATTGTCTGCTCAGATATAGAGATAGTCTTTGATCCCCGCTCACCACCACAACTAAATCCACCTACTACTATCTCCCTCATCAAAGGATTTTGGAAAAGAAAGACAATGGAAATCGCACGTGTCTAATACAGTTAATGTCGCAATCATTCTCTGCACCGATATAGAGATAGTCTGGTTTTCCAACTTTAGAACACGCACCTTTTAATTGTGTCTTTATATTAGTGGTCGTTTAAATAGTGTTATTAGCACAGTAACAAAAATGGTTATTTGGTTATCACATGCTAAAGCTGTTTGTATTTTTATAGGGGACGGAAGTAAAGCTACAACTGTACTTGTGAATAACAAAGTAAGTCGTAAAAAATAGAAAAGCGGAGGTAGCGTTAGTAAAATATAAACAAATTAGGTAATGAGAACTTGAAAATAAAGTGTAAAGCTCTTTAATTTCTCTTAAATTTAAGTCATTACCCCCTCCCCTCTTCCACCGACTACTGCTCTCTCCCTCTTTGAAGGATTTGAAAATCACTAACTGGCGATATTTTGTTGTTGCTGTAACTGACATTGACATCCCTGTCCATCTGGACTAAAATAGGGAGCAGGAATTGTAAAAGGTAGTGAATAGGGCTAGTGTAATATTTACCACATCATCCTTCAAGTACCAGTACAACTACTAAAATAATGTCACTGCTATCTGTGTTACCATCGGAGTAGACAGAGAGTCGTGAGCCAGAAGATTTGGTTCCGCATGTCTAGTGCTGTCGCCACAGACTGGTCAGGTTAGGATGTATAATTTCACTTGCCGACAGAAGAACGCCATAACCTTACCGGCGGTCTTCACGTGACTTAAAGCTCTCTCAGTAAATAGTTTGGTCCCCCCCCCCCCCCCCCAAATTCACCGACAACTCTTTCCCTCATTGAAGTAGTTGGGAGAAAAAAAAAAAAAACCATAATTAGGAAATGAACGCCATTGTAAACAGCACAGCTTAAAATTCCAACACAGATGAAATAACTAAATCTAAATGAAAATCTATAAAATTTCAGCGTAACCATGCAATCGGAAAGTTTAACAATGCAATCATAAGTATGCGAAATGGTCAAATTTAATTATCAAATGGTTTACCCATTTACTTGTTTTTTTTTTTCGTTTTTTTTTTAAATATTAAGGCAACATGGCTAGTGCTGTCACCACGACAGAGCAGATAAGGATATTATTTTAGTCCGGGGTAAAAAAAAATTTAACGACTGCGGATTCGAACCCAGGTCTACCGCACATGGACCCAGTGTTCTAACCATTCGACCAAGCAGCAACTTAATCGGAACAACCAAAAGAGAACTCAACTATTAGACATGTGAGTCCCTACTACTGTGTCGCGATTAAAACACAATTCAAAACCGCAGACAGATACTCCAGATATATTAATGAAATAGAAATCGCACGTGTCTAACACGGTTAATGAAGTTAATGTCGCAGTCACTGTCTGCGCCGACGTTGAGATAGTCCTTAATTGCCCCCCCCCCCCTCCAACCCCTCCCCCCCCCTCCATCGAAGGTTGTTTGTAAAAAAAAAAAGCAGAAAATAGAAATCGTGTTTAATATGGTTA